CGATAGAGGATTATTGTAAAACGGGAGAATATAAATTATATTAATGCCCACTCAGCAAAAAAAATCCACCAAAAAGATTATTCTTCTTTTAATCATTATTTTTTCTCATGTTTTTCCGGTTATTGCCTCCGCCTTTTACGACCAGGCCACGCACACCAGTCATGATGTCAAATTAACCGAATTTAGATATTGATTATGAGCCTTTACTTGATGATCGGCTTGGACTTCCTTGTTGACAGTGCCATGAGCGATTTACAAAATATTTGCTTCCAAAAGAAAAAAAAGCGGTTTTGGTGAACAAATATGAGATTTAATAGTTGTTGAAACTAATTTACTCAGTGGAGTAATTTTTTGCGGTGGTGGCTTTTACTTGACACTCCATACAGCGTTTAAAAAACCGATGATAACTTGTCCTTTACTTGGTGATGTTAAGACCATTTACATTTGGCTTTTTTACAATTTTTTTTGGCATGTTTTAGCACCAGGTTTGGTTTTTTATTATTTTTGAAAATATTGCCAAGTTGACAAATTAGCCAAAAAAAAATGATTAGGTTTGGTTGCCAATTTGTCTAATCCCGCTATTTATCTTTTTTATTTGATGCTACGACCATTAGTAAGCAGTTTTTCAAAGCATCCCCCCAGTTTTCCTCATAAGTATCCCCCGGATTATCCTTATCCGCCTTTTTTTTGAATTAGAGGCGAGTATGCGAATGGAACCGAGCAACGAGCCGGACGAAGCAAATTTTTGGGTTGTAGTTGGCAACGAAGTTGACAAGCAGGGTTAATTTGGTTAATCATAACCGTAGTTTTTTGATATACCGTTTTTTCTCTACTTTTCCATTTTCTTGTAAAACTTAAATTGCGAAGGAACCATTCGAATCAAAAAAACAGCCCAATTTTGTCCCTAAACTGAAAAAAATAAATCAATGACTTTTATCGCTTTTGGTAATCATACTGTCCGTAATTTGCTCCACTCTCCTTATTTTTCTTTCAAAAAAATACTTTTACGGACAGAACACCACCAAGACAAAGAATTATTGCGATTTCTGGCTCAAAAACAAATATCTTATCAATTATTAAATAAAGAACAGTTTTCTCGTTATAGCACCGATAAAAAAAACCAAGGCATAGTGGCTTTTATTCGGAATTATGATTATGTTTCGCTTGCTTCTTTGTTATCTTGTAAGCCAAGAGGTAAGTTTCCTTTAATTATCATGTTGGATGGCATTGAGGACCCTCATAATTTTGGGGCCATTTTGCGGACGGCTGCGGCTCTTAATATTGATGGAATCATTATTGCCAAAAAAAATCAAGTTCCAGTTAATAGTACAGTGGTTAAAGTCTCGGTAGGGGGGGTGGCTCAAATTCCGGTCTGCCAAGTTGCCAGTCTGCCCGAAGCACTGAATGAGTTAAAAAAAAACGACTATCAAATTATTGCTACTGTTTGTGAGTCCAGAGCCATTGAATACAACAAATTCGATTTTAGTTTTCCCATTTGCTTAATTTTTGGCAATGAACACGCAGGAATTAGAAAAAATTTAATCAAAAAAAGCGACAATTCTCTCTATATTCCTATGAGTAATAATATCGGTTCCCTAAATGTTTCAGTCAGTTGCGGCATCATTTTAGCCCAAGTGGTTTCTCAATGGGAAAATCACAGAACAAAAAAAGCGGTAACCTTAAGAGAAAAAAAGATTTAATAATAATTACTCAAGGGTTACATTCTTGTCGTTATGAATATTAAAATGATATTAATAAGTGTGATGATAAAGAGAATTAAAAAACGAAAAATTAATTAAAAGGGATAATTTTATATAACAAAATAACCATAAAACTATATATATATATATATATATGACACAGGACAGCACAAATAAAGAATATTTAAGAAATATAATAATAAGCGGATTAGAGGGTAAGAAGATAAATCGACGAGAAAGTGAAGAATTAATAAAAACAATAAGCAATTTGAATCAAACCGAATGACGAAATTTCAAGATAGTAAGTAAAGAAATCCTTAAAGAGTGAATTGATGAGAAAATAACGACAGGTCAAACAATACCAAGCAATTGACAAAATGAAACGAAAAATTTACTCCATTCATTCGTGGATTTGGGTGCGGCAATGTTTAGCCAGGAAATCTTGCAGGAAAGTGTGCGTTTAGCGAAAGAAAAAGTCCCCCTAGACCAACAAATGTTATCTTTGGTGCCATTATACACCCGACAGTTG